GGTCACACACGGGCGCACGTGCCACGGTCACGCACACGGTCACACACGGCGGGGCGCACGGTCACGCACACGGTCGCACATGGTCACACACACGACACGTGCACACACGACAGCACACATCAACTACATGGCAACACAACTCGCGACAGTACCCACACATGGCAGCGCACAGGGCAACGCACAGTAGCACACGTGCACACGCGGCAACACACTAACACGCAGGTGCCCAGGGCAGCACCGGCCAGCACAGGTGTGTGTGCCCACGTGGACACACGCAGGGCACGGGACACCCGCACAGGCCCTCACGGTGCGCACGCACAGGAAGGCGCCGCCACCAGGCCGGGAAGGCCCTGCCATGCGGCCTCCGCCTGTCCCGCCCCGCCCCGCCCACAGGAACGTCGCTCCACGTGGCTGGTGGGGCCAGGCCCTGGGCAGCACCCGGGCTCCTGGGGCGGACTCCACGGCTGGGGGCCACGAGTGTGTTCCCCCGGCCCGAGGGGAGTCCCCGGCAGAGCGGCTCTCCCTGCCTGGGGGTGACAGAGACAGGCCGAGACGCGGCCGGTTGAGGGCACCCAGCGGCCGGTGGCCGAGCCGGCAGGACACGCCCGGCCGCCAGGGCCTCTCCGCTCGGCACGCTGAGGGGTCTGGACCGGTGGCCCCGTCTGCCAGGCCGCACCCCTAGGCCCACGGCCCCGCCCAACTCCCTGAGCCAGGGGAGCCCCTGCCCGAGGCTGCGCCCCGGCCTCACCTAGGCCCTTCATGGCTTTCCGCAGGGCCTTGGCGTCTGCGTCGGGGCTGAAGTCCTCGGCAGCACGCACGGTGCCCTTCAACTGCAAGAAGCAGGGGCACTCAGCGGGCGGCGCCGGGCCTGGCGGAGAGCAGCATGCGAGGGGGCCTGCCTGGAGCCCCCAGCAAGCGGCCTCGGAGGGCAGGGCAGGGCGGGGCAGCAGAGAGAAGCCCAGCGGAGGCAGGCCAGGGGCGGAGCGGAGCTCTGGCCCAGGCCCACCTGCCCCGGCCGTCACTCACCACGCTGGCCCCGGGCTGGCCCCTAGGCCAGAGGCTGCACGCTGTCCAGAGGCGCCCGGCCCCCGTTCTCAGTGAGCACCCCCGCCCCGGCTCTGGCCCTGGA